CCGGCGCAGGGCTTCGCCTAAACTCCGCGACGATATGACCGAGGTGGAATATGGTGGAGGGGGGCACCGCACACGGCTAAGGAACGATCCGTAGATCAACTTGTGTGTCATGGGGTGTCCCCCTGCCCCCGTATATAAAGGAGCAAGGGGGAAGGGGCGGCCGGCCAAGGGAGGGCGCACCAGGGAGGAGTCCTACTCCCACCGGGAGTAGGACTCCCTCCTTTCCTAGTCCAACTAGGAGAGGGGAAGGAAGGGAAGGAGAAGGAGAAGGAAGGAGAGGGAGGAAAAGGAGGAAAGGGGGGCCGGCCCCCTAGTCCAATTCGGTTTGGGCTAGGGGGGCCGCGCGCCCTGCCTCCTCTCTTCCACCACTTGGCCCATGAGGCCCATTGCTTCTTCCTCGTATTCCCGTAACTCCCCGGTACCCCCGAAAATACCCGAATCACTCGGAACCTTTCCGAACTCCGAATATAGTCGTCCAATATATCGATCTTTACGTCTCGACCATTTCAAGACTCCTCGTCATGTCCCCGATCTCATCCGGGACTCTGAACTCCTTCGGTACATCAAAACTCATAAACTCATAATATAACTGTCATCGAAACCTTAAGCGTGCGGACCCTACGGGTTCGAGAACTATGTAGACATGACCTAGAACTATTCTTGGTCAATAACCAATAGAGGAACCTGGATGCTCATATTGGCTCCTACATATTCTACGAAGATCTTTATCGGTCAAACCGCATAACAACATACGTTGTTCCCTTTGTCATCGGTATGTTACTTGCCCGAGATTCGATCGTCGGTATCCAATACCTAGTTCAATCTCGTTACCGGCAAGTCTCTTTACTCGTTACGTAATGCATCATTCCATAACTAACTCATTAGCTACATTGCTTGCAAGGCTTATAGTGATGTGCATTACCGAGAGGGCCCAGAGATAACTCTCCGACAATCGAAGTGACAAAACCTAATCTCGAAATACGCCAACCCAACATGTACCTTTGGAGACACCTGTAGTACTCCTTTATAATCACCCAGTTACTTGTGACGTTTGGTAGCACCCAAAGTGTTCCTCCGGTAAACGGGAGTTGCATAATCTCATAGTTACAGGAACATGTATAAGTCATGAAGAAAGCAATAGCAACATACTAAACGATCAAGTGCTAGGCTAACGAAATGGGTCATGTCAATCACATCATTCTCCTAATGATGTGATCCCATTAATCAAATGACAACACATATCTATGGTTAGGAAACATAACCATCTTTGATTAATGAGCTAGTCAAGTAGAGGCATACTAGTGACACTATGTTAGTCTATGTATTCACACATGTATTATGTTTCCGGTTAATACAATTCTAGCATGAATAATAAACATTTATCATGAAATAAGGAAATAAATAATAACTTTATTATTGCCTCTAGGGCATATTTCCTTCAGTTTTGCCCTAACCCTAGCTCATTGGTCCCATCGAGTTGATCATGTCGGTCCCACTGAGAATCCTAACGTTCACATTTTAAACTAAATCGGTCTCACCGAGTTCACCTATTCAGTCTGACCGAGTTGGGTCAAATGTATGTAATGGTTTCTGTGGAGGCTATATATACCCCTCCACCCCCTTCTCTATCAAAGAGGGAGCCATCAAAACGTGCCTACACTTTCACTACTCATTTTTTGAGAGAGAACCACATACTCATGTGTTGAGACCAATACATTCCAATCCAACCACAAGAATGTTGATCTCTAGCCTTCCCAAGTTGCTTTCCACTCAAATCATCTTTCCACCACAGCCAAATCTGTGTGAGAGAGTTGAGTGTTGGGGAGACTATCATCTGAAGCACAAGAGCAAGGAGTTCATCATCAACACACCATCTATTACCTTTTGGAGAGTGGTGTCTCCTAGATTGGTTAGGTGTCACTTGGGAGCCTCCGTCAAGATTGTGGAGTTGAACCAAGGAGTTTGCAAGGGCAAGGAGATCGCCTACTTCGTGAAGATCTACCCGAGTGAGGCAAGTCCTTCGTGGGCGATGGCCATGGTGGAATAGACAAGGTTGCTTCTTCGTGGACCCTTCATGGGTGGAGCCCTCCGTGGACTCGCGCAACCATTACCCTTCATGGGTTGAAGTCTCCATCAACGTGGATGTACGATAGTACCACCTATCGGAACCACGCCAAAATTCTCCATGTCTACATTGCGTTTGCCTTCTCCAAACCCTTCCCTTTACCTTCATATGCAATGTTTTACTTTCCGCTTCTACACTCTTAGACTTGCATGTGTAGGTTGATTGCTTGACTTGTGCTAAGTTGCTAAAATCTGCTAAGACTTAAAATTGGAAAATGCTGGATTTTTATCTGGTTAAGTAGTCTAATCACCCCCCTCTAGACCTACTTTCGATCCTATAGATAAATACCATCAGCTAGGTAATATCCCTTGTTGTAATGGTGGCCATTGACCTCAAAGTTGACCTCCGGGGAGTGGCCTTCTGCAAGCCTTGCAAACACTAGAGATCGCTGAAGAACACTAATATCATTCTGAGAACCAGCCATATCGAAGAAAGAATGCCATATCTAGAGATCTTGTGAAGCCACAACTTCAAGTATAACAGTGGCACCTTTCACATGCCCCTTGTACTGCCCTTGCCAAGCAAATGGACAGTTCTTCCACTTCCAGTGCATACAATCTATACTACCAAGCATGCCCGAAAAGTCCATGGCGGTCGGAGGTGCACCCATGCCTCCCATGAAAGAAGCAAAAATCAAGCCTCCCATGGCGGCCATAGCGTCGGGGGGTGCTCCAAAGCCACCCATGCCTCCCATGGCGGCCGGAGGTGCACCCATGCCTCCCATGGCGCCTAAACCGCTCATGGTACCTCTGAAGCCACCCATGCCACCCATGGCACCAAGGCCACCACCACCCATGCCGCCAAGGCCACCGCCATCCATGTCGTAGGAGGCGGAGAGGAGAGAGTGTGGCACGAGCGCTCGAGTGTGTCGCGCGCCGAAGAGGGGGCCCCAAATACACCGCGCGAGATAGCGAATCCGACCGCGCACCCAACTCCTTATAGCGCGCACGCGGTTATTGCGCGCCCGCTGGAGCCACCCCGGGTTGCGCGCGCGCTAAAATGGCCTAATTTACGGCGCGGCGCTTGTTTAGCGCGGCTGTTGGAGATGCTCTTACTCCCACTATGGTCGGTCTTAGGTGTAGCGTTGCTCTATCTCATGTGCCCCTGGTTATACCCTAAAAAAAAAAAGAAGTGCACCTGGTTATGAATTTAGGATATATATTTTTTTCCTTTCGTCTTCCCCGTCCCCGTCAAAATCCATCTCTTCCCACAGCGACTTTTCCTCTGCGCCGTCCCGTTGAGAAATTTCCTCTTCTTCCCCGGTGCCCTAGCTCCAGCTGCCGCCTTGCCGTGGCATCGCATACGCCTCACACCCCTGAGCCCCCAACCCCTGTCACGCGCGTCGCCGCCTCCAACCTTATCGCGGCACCGCGGCCCTGCCGTATCCCCCAGCCGCCGCCGCCGCCGCCGCCATCTTCGTCATTAGTTTTGAAGGTATGAGCTTCTTGTTATCCATGGAATTGCTCCCACCCTAATTTAACCTCCACGAATTTTGGGCGCGACAGCCGACGCACCATCTAGATCCGGCACTAGAAACTAGGTTTGTAAGTGCGATATGCCGGTCCCCAAGGATGGAGATTGTGTCGCGGGGGGCTGTAAACACTGCTTCTTTTGTTTGGCGTCTTCGATGGGTGTGAGTGAATCTGTGCGTGTGAGCAATTCTGCCCACACGCCTGGACTTGTGTGGTCAATCTGGCGCCTTTTCTGAATCCAGGTTGAGATCCTTCAGTTTGCCAAACAAAATTTCATGGCTGGATGAGGTAGTGAGCTGATATGCGAGGTCAAACTGTCGTTTTTTTGCTTGTTGTGACCTAGTATATCAGTGGAGTTTCTTCAAGTCATATATGTAAGCGTGCTGAAAAGGTCTAGGTCAATTTAGCGCACCTGTTTGCTTATTTGGTTATGTGTTTGTGAATTTGGCATGTTGCTTTATGTGGTGGGCTGATGAGCTATAATTATCACTATCAACTCTTACCACTTATAGATGCAAAGCCAAGTTACTGTAGATTTCACTTCACATGGAGCTGCTGCAAGTCCCATATGCTTGGATGCCTTTTTTTTCCTTTCTAGGGATATTTGGCCTTATTCACTCAGCACTGTAGCTTCTCTTGATGTTATTCTGTACATACTATAAATTCAAGCCTTATCTTTCCGGTTGCCTAACAGTTCTTCTATCATTGTAAAGATAGGACATCTTTGCATCCATAAACTGACAGAATTATGATTGCGTACTTATTTTGTACCATTCAGATCTCTATGAAATTATGATTGCTTAAGTTTTATGCAGTTTTACCTTTCCCTTGCAAAGCTATGTTATGATGTTAAGTCATTTATCACCACTATGCCCTGTGCATATTTCATCTTTAAGTGCTTGCTTTCATTATTCGTTCAAATTACATGTCCTTTTGGCACTTTGATATATACTATGACTAATTCTTGCACTGGATTTGCACTCCAAACTCCCAAGTACTTCCGATTGATACTCCGTTTATGCAGTGTTACATGCACCATGTTTCTTTGTGCCAATTACATAATGGTAGTGTTTCATTTGAATGAAATACAGTAGGTGGGAGCTCTGGATGAAACCGTGAGGATCTTATTAGTTTAGTTACAGTTGGTAGATTTGAATCTGGTAACCTTCCTGAAAACAGTCATTTGACTACAAAAAAATATACCTTTTCTTGCACTTGTGAACAAACTACAGCAGTTTTCCGTAGTCTAAGTAGCAACATGAGCATTTATCAGCAATATCTCAATTTTGAGGTACGCACAAGTGAGAAGGTTATGCATGTGTCATAATCAGACAGCTAATGGAGTAATGGAATCGTAGGCTGCCCAACACCTTCTTTGCTACCTCTACAGTTTCTTTATACTGATGGACCTTTCTTTATGTAGACTGATGGATTATGATAACTCTAGAAGACACAATCAAAGTACTTCCAAAAAGAGGACTCGTTTCAATTCTGATGATGGAAAGAGGAAACGGCTAAACTACAGGCAGGATGGCGGACATATGTCCTCTCAGCCAATAGAAACCGTTTACAGGATATTGTGCCCAGGAAAAAAGATCGGCGGTGTCTTGGGGAGAGGTGGTCATGTTGTTAAGGCCCTTAGAGAGGAGACTAAAGCAAAGATAAGGGTTGCTGATTCTATTCCTGGTGCAGACGAGAGAGTAATTATTATATTTGATTACCAAAATAACTCCGACCAAGCTATTCAAAATATTTCTAATGTTGATGGCTCAGAGAACATGAAGCCCCGTTGTTTTGCTCAAGATGCGTTGTTGAAGATACATGATAAGATTGCTGCTGATGAAGATTCCAACGATGGAGTTTCCTATGAGAATTCTGAAACTGCTGGTGATGTGACTGCTCGAATTTTGGTTCCAGGCAATCAAGTTGGCTGCCTGCTGGGAAAAGGTGGCTCTATTATACAACAATTGCGAAATGATACTGGTGCAGGGATCCGTGTCTTACCATCGGAAAACCTTCCTCAGTGTGCACTTAAGAGTGATGAATTGGTGCAGGTAAATTTGTTTTAATAGCAAAATATCCTTCGTTGTGTTGTGTTCCAGCTTGTAATGTCTTTTGCTTGTATTGATCTCCAGGTTTTGTATTGCTTCTGTTTAGCTTTGATTTGGATTCATTACTCTACTGTATCAATTTATTTTACTATAGAAGTTCTCCGTTATGTCTATATTCCTTGTTAAATTCCTAAATAATTGGATTTTAGAGTTTGGTATCTGGCATGGTTTAATTGATATAGCACGTAGTTTATTTTTAGATTATAGTTTACCAAGAAATTTGCCAGTTCAGTTGAAGGCCCTGTTTGTTTGGGTTTTGCTTTTGCTTTTTCAGCTTTTCCACTTTGGCAAAAAAGCCTAAAAATCTCCTAAATAGGTGCTTTTTTGCATAAGCCCCTATTTAGGAGCTTTTGTGGCTTTTTTTGCCAAAGTAGAAAAGCTGCAAAAGCAGAAGCAAAAGCCCAAACAAACAGGGCCAAAATAAGATATCTATCACTTACAACATGCTCTTTTGTGTGCTTTATTATCTTTAGACATGAATAATATTGATGCGTAATTGCTTATATCATGTCAGATATCTGGTGCACCTTCTCTTGTAAGAAAAGCTCTCTACGAGATATCTACTCGTCTCCATCGGCATCCTCGTAAAGAAAATCCATCTCTTGAAGAAATTATAGATGCAAGCACACAAAGGAAGCGCGAGTCCCCACCACCGCTACCACATGAAAATCACATGTTACCACACCTGCATGTGGATCATCCACCACCAATGTCCTTGCTTGATCCATATAGAAACGGACCATTGCAATATCCTGTTCCTGAACCAGAAGAGTTTTCTATTAAAATTCTGTGCCCTTCTGAGCTTATTGGACCTGTTATTGGCAGAAGTGGGGCAAATGTTCGGCAGGTAGAGCAGCAGACTGGTGCTCGCATTATGGTTCAGGAGTTGCCCAAAGATGCTTCTGGAGAAAGGTTGATTGTTATTTCATCCAAGGAGGTAAGATGTAGATGGTTGTTCAAATTGCTATCTCCTTATCATACCAATCTTCACAATTGAGTCCTCACAGTTTTATCTCCCACATATTTTTTCAATCCAGATTCCGGCTGATCCAGTATCCCCAACAATCGAGGCACTTATTTTGCTCCATAGTAAAGTAAGTGAGAGCAAAGTAAGTGAACCTTCAGTAAGTGCACCTTCAGAAAGTGCACCTTCTGAGGAGCACAACTTGGTTACAAGACTTGTTGTACCATCAAGAAAAGTTGGTTGTATTATTGGGGAAGGTGGGAAGGTAATTACTGAAATGAGAAGGCGTATTGGGGCTGAAATCCGAGTTTATTCGAAAGCAGATAAACCAAAGTACTTATCTTTTCACGATGAGCTTGTGCAGGTGATTTATATTCAATTGTATCTTCATCAAGTTGTCCATATTGTTTCAATATCTGCCTTTTTAATGTTTTTGTTTCTTGACTTGTTATTATGCTGTTACATGTGTTGCGAGCTTTCAGGTTTCTGGGTCTCCAGATATTGCAAGAAAAGCCATCACAGAGATTGCTTCGAGGCTTAGAGATAGAATCCTCAGAGATGGAATTTCCTCTTTTGATGGTCCTCCTGCTGATATATTTCCTAGCAGGGAATTCACACTGTACGGAAGACCTGCTAATCCACCATATGGAAGGCTTGCCAATGATGCCCCTTATGGAAGGCCTGCCAATGATACCCCTTATGGAAGGCCTGCCAATGATACCCCTTATGGAAGGCCTGCTAATGATTCCCCGTATCAAAGGCGGCTTGCCATTGATCAACCATATGGGCTTGCCAGTGATTCACTATATGGAAGACCTGCCAATGATCCGCTATATGGGAGACCAGCCAATGATCCACTATATGGGAGACCAGCCAATGATCCACCATATGGAAGACCTGCCAACGACACACCATATGGGAGACCTGCCAACGACACACCATATGGGAGACCTGCCAACGATGCACCATATGGCAGACCAAACAATAAACCCCATGATTCAGTAGATTACTTCTCTAAAAGAAGAGAGTATCCTAGTGGAAGTCCATTTGCTAGCGACGCTCCACCATCTGCTTCTTATGATAGATATGCAGCATCTGCTCGCTTGCCTACTAGAGAAATGCCCTTGCCTGTTAGTCCTGGTGCTGATTACATGTCGCATCGTTCTTATCATGACCATATGCCTACTGATAGCTATTCTAGTAGAGGCATTCAGCAATTAGGCCTCTCAAGAACTGGGAATAGTAATATGCAACAATTAGGCGTCACCAGAGCTGGAAATTCCAATGCTTATGATTACACTGAGGTACAGTTTAATGCGTCAGTTCCCCTGTTTTGCAAATGGCCCTCACCTCATAGTTTTCATTGGAAACCTGAAACTGTGTAGTGTATGCAATTCTTCCATAACTGGTTGGGATTCCTGAAGAGGGAAAAAATATCCGTAGGTTATACTGATCTGCATTCATATCATTCTAGTTGATGTTCACTGTTTTCTTGATTTGGTGTCGGTGTTTACTTATATTATTGACTTTCCTTGTCTGGTTCTGTTTATGCTGTTTCACACGCGTGGACATGTGCATCTGAATAAATTTGGTTCTCATTTGCTTCAGTGCTGAATAGATTCAAATTTCACTCTTCAGGCTGCCGGGCAGATGCATGGACGTGAGGATTATCAAAGAGCGGCAGATGTTACAGGGTATGTTTTCGCAGCTCATCTCCCTTCTGAAATGCTACGTGGAAATTGTCATTGATAGATAATCCTTTTGGCAGGTATTCAAGTAGCTCTGTTGAGCTGAGGATTCCAAATAGTTCTCTGGAATCTATTGTTGGAGCTGGTGGTGTCAATCTAGCAGAGATCCGCCAGGTACCAGCTATGCTCTGATCTTTCTGAACTACAAATGGGACTGCGTCATCCATTGAGCCAGTCTTCATTATTTTATTCCCTGTAATAGTTTATAAGTTTTTCTCATGCAAGTTCTCGATCTCAGATCTCTGGTGCAAGAATGAAGTTACTTGAAGCCCGTCCCGGTTCTTCGGAATCCATCATGGAGATCCAAGGTATGCCGGACCAAGTGAGAGTGGCACAGAGCCTTTTGCAAGGCTTCATTGGTGCCAACAGCCAGAGCGTGCAGCCATCCCAGTCTTCTCGCGACGTCCATTATCCAAGGTGGAACTAAACCCTAGAGGCTTGTGGTGAAGAGCAACGGAACACCGTGCAAACTCCAGGTCGATTGCCATGCTGCCACATTAACTAGGTTGAGCGGTGTAACTTAGATCATGTTTGTTGACAAAAATAATCTGGGCTTTGGTTATTTCCAAGGATGTACTGCTAAACGTGCTTGTTTTATTAGTCTTTTTACCCCCTTTTGAGTGAAATACATCTGATGACAAGAGTTGCGAAAACTCTGTAGTCATTGTACACACGGAACCTCGATGGTTGAAGCTGTTGTTATATGCAATGCTATTCATGAACTTCACACCGTCACATACTCACATCTGATTTTCTCCGAGACTGGCCTGACTCTTGCTATTTTGCTGATTGTGTTAGGAGGCCATAGTTTCCAACCTAGAATTCTGTTTGTAGCAGGAATTAAGCTGTTATTGGTTATTGCACTACATGAAACAACATTAGGTCTCCATTACCCTTTGTCAGCTTATATTATTGTCCATCACTAGACAATGCTTTGTGATTTGCAACATGTATTGCTTTGTGCTCAGTAACAATTATCTTGATGCATACATTTACCACATAATGGATGGCAATTAAGGTAATTTCCCGTTTGCCTTTGTGGGGATGAACAGCAAATCAGTCCATAACTGGGTTTCTAGGGCGAACATAAAACATTTTAATTCCATTATTAGTTTCAAAATATACATTTAAATTTCACAGATCAAACCATCATCTTGAACCCTTTCTCCCGCTCATTTTGCAAAACGAATCTGAAGGTAGACAGTCATAAGGCTGCCTAAGACTACATAATGGCACATGTGGAATTCCAAAAGATAAAAAACCCTGGCGAAAAGGCAAAAGAACCCAGTAGGGTAACTAATATTCAAACAAGTTTAACATTGATTCTTTTTCTTGAGCTTTCCTTGGCCAAAAAATAGCACAATTCTTCTAGCAAAGATCAAAGGCAGCATGACCTTGGTCCTTGGCCTTTCCTCTTGAGTCCCAATATACGACACCCGCAAACCGCAACACCTTGGTTAGAGAATATGGTCATGTTATGCGTCAAGAAAATGCAACCCCTTAATAACTACTCCATCTGTCCCTAGTGTAGTGTCAAAAAACGTGTTACATACGGAGGGAGTACCATAAAATACTTCGAAGGCATTTCCTTAAGGCAGCAGGAATGTCACCCTTCTACTCCGCAGTCAACATCCTCTGTTCCTAAATATGAGAAGTTTTGCATTTTGAACGTTTTGGCAGTACCTATCAACAACTTAAAAAATAAAAACGCTTGCATTATCACTGTTAATGAAGTAGGCCAGCATTGATCTATTGGGACATGTTTGGCATAACACAACAAAGAGCTCAAAAGATTCATCTGCTCAGTCAATTAGAGCACCGATTGTCATAAGCTCTTGAAACGAAAGCTACCTCGTCAGCTGAAAGCTCCACACCCGCAAAGTTACCGTCTTCGGACGCTGCCCACTTTAGCTATCCGGGCAGCATATATCGCATCAGCTAGTACTATAATTGGTTCATGTTGACCTAGTACAAGTTTTGAGGACATTAGAAGTAAACATCAGCGCCTCTAGGTGAGATCATTGCATCAAACGAGGTAAAAGTACATCACAAACAAATTCACCGTGTATTTCAACCTATTATATGTATGACCTGACCATCTACAACAAAATTAAATAAAACAACTTGAACCTTTCGATCGGGTTTTAGTCGCAATGAACAGATGGAACATATATACTTGAAATTGTGCACTACTTTTGTCATTTTTTCTTTTTGTATAAAAAGGAGTCTTGTTCAAGACTTCAAGCATGTAATAAACGAAAACTAAACTGCTAGGAAGGCTGATTGCCACCTAAGATCAACCAGAAGATTTTATTAGTTGCCCGATTACATACATGAAAAGTTCACTCGGAAGCATAATAATTCTCCAACGGGGTTTCTGTAGAAGTGCATGCTCTAGCCAATGCCCGATCTGATGGAAGAGACCAGGCAACACATTATACGTCAACACTCCCCCTCACGCGTGGCTCCGTTAGGCCTAAACGTGGACCTAAAGTGGGCTGCAATTTTAATTGCGCCAGCCGGGTCTTGAACTCAAGACCTCTTGGCTCTGATACCACGTAGAAGTGCATGTTCTAACCAATGCAACCAAAAGACCGATCTAATGGAAGAGACCAGGCAACACATTATACATCAACAGTTTCAAAAGAAGAGCCCAGCTCTTATCCTTTTCGTTTTGATGGTAGCTTCATTATACCCCGCAAAAAAGAACTCAAAGAAGGGCATTTTGTCAAAAGGATTTAAGGTACTTTCATCATTATGTCCCTTCTAAATTTTCTATCTATTTGTCCATTTAGTACGGAATATGTCTCCCGCAAAAGAAAAAAAGGTACAGAGTATATCGACATACATGTCTGATACAGATGTATGAGGAAGTATCGCTTCTTCAGAAAAGTGTCGATGTATAACAAAAGAAAATTGCTTTTTGTTCAACTGCTAGGCTGGTTAGTTATGTTGTTTGTCTTGCAGGATTATCTGGTGCAGTTTCACCTACTCGAAAATAAAATAAAATCTGGTGACACATTTTCCGTTCACTCCCAATTGGAAGAGACAAGAAGCCATTTGATTTCCAAGGGAATTAGCATCTGTACGGCATTTCACCACTATGAAAAATAAACTTACTTGCATAGCTAGACCAAAGCCACAATTAATTATGCCTTCTCTAGCTTTAGTTCACCGTTCACGTATAAAAATCTACTCCCTCCATTCCGAAATATAAGTCTTTTTAGAGATTTCACTACAAACTACATACGGATGTATATAAACATATTTTGGAGTGTAGATTCACTCATTTTGCTTCGTATGTATACCATAGTGGAATCTCTAAAAAGACTTATATTTTAGGAACGGAAGGACTAATAAATTGGTAGTTTCAATAAAAAAACTTCATTTCAGTGCTTAAAATTACAAATAGCATGCTCCTTCGGTTGAAGCTAAAAGTGTATATTGTGTAATCCTGTAGCATGGACTGAAGTGCCATGAGTGTTGTGTAAGAAATACTACAGCCATCCAAAGTTAATTGAACCGTTCTCTGTTTCAAAGTTAATTAAATCGCTCTCTGTTTCATATTATTTCGCATTAATCAGCTGAATTCGTATATGCCTATTGATTGTTGATCTACCAGATGTACAGTGACTTTTTTATATACTCTGAATGGTATTAAGTTCTACCCAAGCAGAAGTGCTGTTACAATTGGACGGCCATCATTGCTGCAAAGACCGCAAGTTAGCCTATTCATTTCATATGATTTATTTACTGGGTTAGTGAAAATATTATAAGGATACAGAAAAGTGATGTACGGATCATTCTGCTGCTAGAAAGTTGCAAGATGTTCCAAGTTTCAGCAACCTATGCTTGTCAGGATCACTGAAAGTTCGATTGTAATATACTACATCTTGGCCGTTCTAATTTTTCTCCAACATTGTACTCCCTGATTTAGAACAAAAGTTACAAATCTGTACTAAATCAGTGACCCTTATTTTGGGACGGAGGGAGTATTTGATTGAGATCATGCGTGATGCGTCAGCGAGAAACTGGCGCAGCAAAGTGCCACACCATAAGCTTCTACTGTATGCTATGGTCCATGGGCTTAACAGAACAATTCTTCCACTTCATTGGTTTAGTATACTCATGTCATTCAAGAAAAAAAATTGTGTGCCATATATAGACCATAGCAACCATCCGAGCATATAGCTTGATTACATCAGCAAACTGACACCTCAATGGCTCCATCTATCCACTGAAACATCCAAGCAAAATTCTGAAAACCAGATAATGGAGTTGGTACACATGGCAGAAGACGATCTTCTCAACGAGCACTATGAATCCACACATCGAGAGAATTCCTTATTTAACACTGTCTTAAATTTTCTTTCCCTATTTGACACCGAAAATATTTTCTTTCCTTATCTAACCCTAAGTCTAAATTTTGTGCCCTTTATAACGCTTCTGTCCATTTTAAGCTTTAACGGTGTTAAATGTCACCTAAAAAGACTCTTTTACCCCTCATGTGGCATGTGACCAAAAATTGATACTCCCTCTGTTCCTGAATATAGATTTTTTTAGAGATTTCAATAAGAAAGTACGTACAGAGCAAAATGCATGAATCTACATTTTAAAATATGTCTACATACATCCGTATATAGTTTGTATTGAAATCTTTAAAAGACTTATATTTAAAAATAGAGGGAGTATATGCTAATATTGAAAAGCAAAAAGACACGTTTTCAGTGTCCTCATGTGGCATGTGAAACTGGATCCTCCTCCGACAAACGGTATTGGAATGGTGAAACAGCCTGCGTTGCTACCACCAGGCCGTGCCCTGTCACCGTGCCGCGCCATCGCTCTGTTGGCCGTCGTGTAGAGCAGCCAGCCGCCGTTCAGCTCCGGCTGTCGCGTGCTGCGCACCACGCCACGGGCCGCACGAGAGCCGCTACCACGACGAGCTCCACCGTAGCTGTTGATGCACGAGCCGCCATCAATTTATCTGCATCCCGACGTGTACAAGCCTAGCCAGCTTCCTACGTAAGCATCGTTTGTATGTCCAGCCCGGCGTGCTAATGGTCAATAGCATCGGCCAGGAACCTCGTCAAGAAAGTATTATCGAAGTACAAGCACCTTACACCCGAGGGTAAAAGTGTCCTTTTACATGCAATTTAACACCGTTTGAAGGAAAAATGAACGGAGATGTTATAAAGGGTATAAAATTTAGAATTGGTGTTACTTAGGGAGGAAAAAAGTTTCCAGTGTCAAATAAGAAAACAAAATTTAATATAGTGTTAAATAAGGAATTCTTTCACAAATATAAGAGCGAGAATCATGTTGAGGCATAACTTTCGCTGTTGTGCATTGACTCTGCATTCAGAGGTAAAACTAGTTGGTCAGTATCTTGCCATGGATGTTAGAGGTGATTGTTTTGTGTCCAACAAG